GCGAGCGTTGGCTTTTAAGAAGTGAAGTTCTGAGTCAATGCAATCAGAACTACAAATGTTCCTTATCCTAAAGCAGAGCGAATGGATTTGGGTTCCTTTTCCTGGAGATAAGTGGCACCCAACTATAAAAATTAGTTAGTTTTCCGTTCCATATACGTCTCCGGTGGATGGATCTTTTGAGAGATCCGTCATTACGTCTACGTCTAAGGCAAACATCAAGAAACGGAATACTTAGTTCAGATTCCTTTTCTATGTTGAATTGTTCTATTTTTTCACTATTACTAAGGTGTCGTCTACATATCTCTCCACAAACATTTTATTGATGACCTGAATGGTTGAATATTGTTCACTCTGTGTAGGCGCAGTATCGCTTGAAGTTAAGTCACGCGTAGATAACGGCTATCCCGATCCAGAACAAACAAGAAGCCGGTCACTGTTTCTACGGTACTATTAATAAACAAATCAATAATTATAATATACAACAAACCTTAACGGTTTCAAGAGTACAAAGCACAACGCTTAACAGAAAGCAAGGTACCGCTATCAGAGCGGAATAATGTTAAAGCCAAAATTGCGAACTAGCCGGAATCAGACACGACCGTTCAGGTAAGCAGTCAGTAGAAGAATGAACCCAAGTAAGGCAGGGCATAGAATAGAGAGCAGTTAAGAGAGATAGACAGAGCATAGGCACAAAGATAGAATTTAATTGGCTACCTAATAAGGTAGGCTGATACAGGTGAAGATCAATGAATAGGATAAACTCGACCGAATAGTACAAAGTAAGACCATGGGTCAGCAAAAATAACAGTTCACAAAATACTCTGACTGGGTCATGAGTTCAACTGTCTGACTAAACGGATCGAGGTAAAACCACACACACACAGTTCATTAAACAAGGGGGGATAGACACGTTAGGCATGGGTTGCAACAACGCTAGGCTGATTCGGGGGGACAGGTTGACTTGATTCAAAGATGAGAATTGAATTGATCTTACACCCTGTCTATCAGATTCATCATAAAATTATGTGTAATACTTTACATAACTATCGACGCATAAAAGGGAATGTAGGAAAACATTTTCAAGCAAATAAATAATAAGGGATAATACGTAATCCCTTTTAAAAAGACACTCGTATGGCATTGACGTCAGAGAGACTTACACGTGAACAGAAGCCAACTTGTTAACTCTTTTGTTGTTCTCACCCAATACATCGAAAAGAAGGGCGTTTTTTATTAAAAAAAAAGGGTCTTTTTCGACCCTATGACTAACTCTGTAAGATAAAGCTAAATAACACGAGCATTTCACTGTTCACACAATTATTCGGCCCCCCCCCCGCCGCCACCTCCTTTATGAATTTGAATAAAGCAAGAACAGTGTTGGTGTGTACAGAATAACATGGATAGTATTCCATGACTGTTGATTTCGTCAGCTTCATATCAGCTGCCCACAGACCACAGAAAATATTAAGTTTGTTAATTTACAGAAATAAAATGAACAGAAGAGGGTAAACTGCACACACTGGTGTTGGTAAAAGCCAACGTATTCTTCTAATAGATATTTAGACTTTAATTCATCTCACCCGTCGTTATCTATAAAGTCAGGCTTAGTTATACGTGTCTAACAAACCGAGCAGTAGCACTAAGTAGCACAAAAAAGATCAAAATGATGAATTAAAACAGATAGAAGAAGCGTTGGTGTTGAATAACTATCCCATAGAATTCATTAGGAAGATCAGAAAAGGTCGAAAGGAAAATAGAAATAATCGGGAAACTAGTAATGAAAGCATAAATAAGAAAGAATATAAGGCATCTACAGTTCCACAATATCAGGAAGGAGACATCTGAGACCCTCCCTACATAGGAATCTTAATAAAGTAGAAATTAGGTTTGCATTTAAACCTACAAAACTCACTCAGACAGGATAAATCCTATAGGTTAAAGGACCGCATAGTTTGACCCAATTAGACAAAACAATATATATTTTACAAAATCCCTTGCCATCCTTGTGAGTTACTTCAACTATCTACATAGTTCAAACAAGTAGATCGGGTAGGGGTAGTCAGATTGTCAGAACACAATAATTTAGCTAAAGTTAGAGTGATTGACCCTGAGAAGATAAGTAATTTAGAAAAAAGCTCAGCACTACATTGTACTGCATGCATTAACACACAATGACGCAATAGGGTGGGAGAGGGTTACGATTCTAAGAAGTAATCTATATATGTGGAGACAGAGATTCATTACTGAATCCTGGTTCATCGAGTCTTCACCAAACACATGCAACAGAAATGACTCAATGCAAATACCAGAGCTATGGAAGATATTATTACCATCAGTCAAATCAAATGAGGATAATAAATAATGTTAATACGTGTTTAATTCACATTATAACATCCTAACAAGTAAGGATAAACATTGGCTCACTACAGACACTTGGAGACTCATAGAAGAGAAAAGGATGGTGAAACAAAAGATTGTTCAGTGCACCGATGAGCAACAAAAACAGGAGTTGGATGCAAACTACAATACACTGAAAAAAAGAGTAAAGAAGAGTGCCAGGGAAGACAAAAGAAAATATTATGAAGCAGTGGCAAGTGAAGCAGAACAAGCTGAAGGCAAAGGAGACCTCGCCACACTCTACCAAACAACTAGGTACCTATTGCTGAAAAGCTCGACACAAATTAAGCCAGTGAAGGATGACAATGGAAAGTCAACCACCAAAGAAGTGTAGTAAAGAAAACACTAAGCTGGACACTTCAAAAAACTTCTAAATCGACTGCCACCTACAACGCGCCCAACAATACCAACAACGGAAGCAGAACTACCAGTGAACATTGACCCCCCGGGCGAAATCAGAAGTCCTGAATGCAATCAAGATACTAAAAGGGGGAAAAGCAGCACACACTACTGATCATCATTGAACAAAGCTTGGAATGGCAGTCACCTCTACACCTCATTCAACTTCATCGACTTTGAAAAGGCCTTCAGCAGACAGCATCGATCGAGAGGTCATTTAGCAACTACTTCGCCACTACGGGGTGCCGTCGACAATTATACATCTCATCCAACAGTTGTACGACAATGCTACATGCCAAGTAATCCACATTGGGAAACTTACGGAAGCCTTCGAAGTGAGGGCGAGAGTTAGGCAAGGCTGTCCACTATCGCCAATGATTTTCCTGATTGCAGTAGATTGGATAATGCGACAGACAGACAGACAGCGGGCAATGAGGAAACAGGCATAAATTAGACTCACACAAAAAACTTGGAGGATCTGGACTTCACTGATGATGATATATGTCTGATTTCCCGCGAAAACTGGAAGATATGCAAGTGAAAAGCAACACGTTGTCAGAAGAAGCATCAAAGGTAGCAAGGACTTCAGGTGAACATAGAGAAAACAGAGGTGATGAAGATTCCTGGCCAACACCAACAGCAACAACAACAGACAACAACCAACATAAATGGGAGGAATCTGAAAGAAATAACCTCCTCTACCTACCTGGGAAGCATCGTTTCAACTACAGAAGGACGAAAGTGACGAGGATATCAAGACGCGAGGACCGAGAAGACCAAGCAAGATTTCATTTCTCTCAAGTCTGTGTGAAAATTCCATACTTGTACCAAAAATACAGTGTGGAATCAAGCTGTGAATCAAAAATAAAAATAAAAAATAAAAAAAATAAGATCAACAGCACTATTCAGCATGAAAAATGAGATCCGAGTTTTCAACTGAAATGTGAGATCAGTGCTACTTGCTTTATGGATCAGAGATTTGGCACCACGTTGCGTCACGAAGGACACTTCGAACAAACTACAGCCTTCATCAATCAACAGCTGTCTTGGCTCAATACTCAAGATCAGATGGCCATAAAAGATCAGCAACAAGGATCTCTGAGAGCGAAACAACCCACCAGGAACCGATTGTGCAACAAATAAACAGGAAGAAATGGAGGCAGACTGGCTGGCCATACTCTGAGGAAACCATCAAGTGACATCACTAGACAAGCCGTTGCTCATGTGGAACCCTAAATGGAAGCGACGAGTTGGTCGTCAGAGCAAGGGTGGCTTGGAGGGGGAGGTAATGTGAAGAGGAGATGAAAGTATGTGGGCAGACTTGGAGCCAGATGAAAACTTTAACAGAGAACCAAACGGAATGGAGACGCGCGGCTGAAGCCGTATGTTCCTCTAGGAATTAGTGGAAATAATAGCAATTCACAAGCATTGGTCAAAACCAGGTTTTTTTTAGAGTCAAAAGACGAATCACAGGAAGAATTTCTGATTCTGAAGATGTTGAAAAATAAATATTACCATCAGAGGTTCCTTAAGAAGTACGGAAAACGTGAAAGCTGGAAGGTCAAACAAATCACAATGGGAAAAAAACATAGCTTCATTCGACTCGATTTTAAAGGTGAAAATATTGCAGCAATAGTCAACAGAAGACTGAAGACACTACTAACCAGAGCCTATCCTGTAGCTAGCTAAGTTGGTTCCCGTTTATTGCACAACATGCTCATCTTTAATTCTCTTTTTTATTTTTATTACGTAATGCTGAAAACTCCATTAGGCATGATTGTAATTGTTTGTATTAAAGTGATCATCATTATTAGATAGTTGGAGGCAATCGACAGGAAGTCTTGGACCTAACTGGCACTCATCAGCAAGGCGTATCTACAACGCCGAAGGAACTCATGTCCCTTCTGAAATTCGAACCCACCTCACTCAGTGCTGCAGTCATTACCATTGTATACACATGTTGATTTTTGTTTATTACTTGAACTCTCTTGACAGGTATGTTAGAATTGTTTCTGCACATAAACTTAATGATATCTTTAGGCTGTGAGCAGCTGATGGGAGTCCAAAGAAATGAACAATGATGGTACCATCTTATATTGTTTACAAACTGACGTTATTTCTGTTTCACTCAAATTCAATTTCACCATTGTTAATTTAAATAATCAATCACAATATGCTGTTTCTTTACTCTAACGCTTTTTTAGATTCGATATGCAACTGTTAGCCGGCTGTTGGATCGTTTAACGGATGCGCGATTTTTGTCAATCGATTTTTTGAATACATTCCTTCTTACCTATCGTGTATTTACTACTGGTCTCTCGGTGATTTGGTCATTGAATCAAGTATTAGCAAATCCAGATGTGGAGAATAGTACTGGTTCTAATAATAGTTCTATGTGTCAAAATCAGAATCAATCATTTACTTAGTAAGCTAGCTAGTTTTTGTTGCTGTACCCGTTGGCTGCTAGGCGTCATATTATTTTTTTATTTTTATTTTTGATTACAGCTTGATTCCACACTGTATTTTTGTTACAAGTATGGAATTTTCAGCATGGATATCGGTAGCCCAAATTTTGAAGGCCAATCATAGATATCAGGTGTGCGTCGGCAGGGGATCGAACCTTGGACCATGTGCATGGTCGGCGAGAGTCCTAACCACTGTGCCACCGACGCAGTTTTGATTTTACTCTAAAGAATTTTAGCCCTTCGAGAGAAACAGACAGACATTTGTTGAAGCTATTCAGCAGTCTTGTAGATGCTAGCTGCAAAATATTAAATCGCATCATCATTGTGGAGAGAATAAAAGATGGACTGGATGCAGAACTCCTAACCCCCCCCTCCCACCAGCCCCGGAACAAGCTGGATTCAGTGAAATAAAATCATGTGCGAATCAGATCGTAATTCTATGCATCATCACCATCCTCATCGGACAGAGCATAAAATGAGAGTCAAATGTCTACCTCAACATCATTCCCTTTGGAAAGGTCTTCAACGACTTGAAGCAATTAGTCCTCTTTATGATTGGCATACAATGATTCCCTTTTATAAATTTGAACCAAGAAAGAAGAAACACTGACGAGCAGAATAATCTGGATCCATTTTATTTCATTGGTTCTCATCATCATCAGCTGCGTACAACCTGAATTCTTTAATAAACAAAAGGGTACAATTTTCAATAAACTTTTGTCCATTAGCAAGCATATTGTCAGAGCGTCATAGTAAAATAAAGCGTTGCTATTTACAAGGTGTCTAAAGTGTTACGACATATATATATATCTTGTTAGAGAGAAGTTTCTTGAAAAATTTGATTGATTAACATTCGTGTTGTTGAGATGGTGACAAAAGATAGTCAGTAATAGTTACGTAATTAGAAAAGGGACCGAATTATCTAAGCTCTTCAATCGCCAAACACCTGATCAACACAGAATACCGAGTAGATGTGCTGAAATCATTCAAAATAATTAACAGACAAAGTAGTACCTCAAATCTTCTCAAGTTTTCATGTAGCTATAGCAATGAAACGATTGAAGCCTGACCTACGTGTCCAAAAAGAATTCGTTGTTGAACTTCAATTACCCTGGTGACTCACTGCTTAGTAATTCTTTATTTTCTAATTTTGTTAACTTATCTTTTCACTCCCCACCCCCTTTATTTTTTGCTTGATTCTCTTTTTCTTGATCTCCTGAGTTCTGCTCACTGTATTACATCATCATTTTCTCGTCTGACCTTATGTGCACTGAAATTTTAAAATTTTGATCTTCTCTTATCTAATTACGTAACTATTACTAATTTTCTTTTGTTACCACCCCAACAACACAACTGTTAATTAATCAACTTTTTCAAGGAACGTCTCTCTAACAAGATAAATATATACATCGTAACACTTTAGACACCTTGTAAATAGCAACGCCTTATTTCACTATGACGCTCTGACAATATGCTTGCTAATGGACAAAAGTTTATTGAAAATTGTACCCTTTTTTTATTAAAGAATTCAGGTTGTACGCAGCAGCTAATGAGAATCAATGAAATAAAATGGATCCAGATTATTCTGTTCGTCAATGTTTTTTCTTTCTTTGTTCAAATTTATGAATTGCGACAACACAATTAAGAAGACGTAGTTTATCTGAAACGTAAAATGTATTGGCACAACACATTTCGGACATTCTGATCACATACACACACACACACACACACACACACACGATTACTTGTCATACACAGTTTTTTATAGAAGGCCAGTAGGCATGAATAATTACAATACAGGTGAGATTGTGTCCAGGTCAAGGTCATAAAAACTTTCAGATGTACTCGTTTAGATGTACTCATAGCCCACCGAGAAGATGGGTCAGTAAAACGATCTGTCTACAGAAAGTTCACATGGACGGGACAGTATCTAAATTATCAGAGTTTCTTTCCACTACACTTCTTGTTCACTGAATATGTACTTCCGATACAAATGAAGAAGAAAGCCAACACCTCACTGAAATATTGTTAGATAACAATTACCCACTGAGATTTATTAGGCGTTACGGAAGTGTCAACCATAGAACTCTATCAATCCAATCAGCTCCCAAAAAGGATGCTTACATATCCTTGCCGTTCAGAGGTGATCAACAAAATCTGGTTACTAGACAAAGACTCAAGGCCGCAATTAATAGAACTTATTATGCAGCTTAGCTTATCTTCATTAACAAAAGGAGAACTATGCTGTCCTGTAAACCCTCACATTATCCGAACGATAGTGTCACATCCCATTGTGTTTATCAATTTACATGTGTATGTGTGGACACACGTACACAGGGAGGACCCATCGGTTTCTGCAGGTTAGGGTTACAGAACATATTCCATATTGGCCGCAACAATAAATAAAATTGCCGGATACAATTGATCCCGGAAATAGATGTCCAACATCATCTATAGCGAAGCACATTATAGAGATAGGTCATAAGGTTGATTTCAACAATGCCTTTAACCCGATATATAAAACAAGGTTGGGTGAAATACTTAAATTCATTGAAGCCTTAGCCATAAAATGACTTAAACCTGTCGATCTTATTTGTCCAAAAGTTATTTGTCATCACTTCAAACCTGCCTTGGTAATGCAATTTAGAACCAAGGTTCAATTTACTTCATAGTATTTTCAACCCCTTCCTTGCTTTGTTTTTCCTCTATTTACCTTTCTTACCCACACCTTTACGTCATCTCCCTACTCATCATTTGTGACCTTGACCTCTGGACAATCTAAAGTGTATTGTAATGATTCAAGTATTCTAACCTTCTATCAAACTGTGTATGACAAGTACGTGTGATCAGAATGTCCGAAATGTGTTGTGCCAATACATTACACGGGCTTCAACAAAGTTGACCGTGTAGTATTTTGGAAACCAATTCCACATTGTGTAGTGTAGTGACCCAAATCTTTTTCAGCCTCATATAACAGATTTAAAAAAAATAAAATTAAATACTAATTAAATGCTCAGACACCATCAAAGCATCTGCACAAGAAACCAATAGACATGTCAACCTGAGACCGAGGAGCACTTCGGTCCAATCAGTCGACGGGAAAATCTAAAATTGAATTTAATTATTAATTTGACCCGTTGCAGAAGAGGTGGCTTTTGGTGGCCCAAGTGGTCTAGTGGATAAGGCTTTGGCGTTGGAAACTATGGGGGCACTGGGTTCGAGCCTCGGTACGGGGAATATCATCACTCACTGAGAAAATGCAGGTACATCTAGATGATGAGACCCAAATAGGACGTTTGTTTACTATCACCGATGGTATACCAAAATGTGGTGGACTGGTTAGCCAGAAGACAAAAATACTATGAACTAACTGACAGGAATATTCTAGAAGGTCTGAATTTCGAGCGTTGTTGATTTATGTCTAATGTCATACAAACTCGAAGACTTGCAGGTGAAATCTACAAGCTGGCAGAATAGGCAGGCAGCGAAGACTCCGGGTGAACATACAGAAGACGGAGGTGGTGAAAATAACCAACTAGTCATTTTCAATCAAAGAAATTTGAAATAGCTCACTTCTTTCGCTTATCTAGGCATCGTCGCTTTAACTACAGCCGACTCCACGGATTAGGATGTCACAGTCAGAATTGGAAAAGCAACATACATCTGCATCACTCTGAAATCAGTTTGGAAGTATTCTGCAGTCAGCACTAATATTAAGTCACTTCTTCTATATGGATCACATAAAGCACCTCAACACAGACCACTTAAGAGTCTTACCAACAGCCGCCACCTTTTCTAGCTTTATACAGAAGGCCAGGTGGCCGGCCAGAAAGAATCGCCAAGAAGAAACTCTGGGATCGAATCAGCCAACAGCCTGTTGCGTAATAAATATTCCGAAGAAAATGGAAATGGATCAGGTACATGCTGAAGAGATGTTAAATGATAGTGCGCTCCAGGTGATCACTCGAGTGGAACTGTTGGAATTGTTTTATTCCAACAGTGGTGTGAACACGGGCAGTAGTAATTTTGCTCGAAATAGTACCAATAACAAAACTTATCATTGTGTGTAAACCATTGAAATATAATTATACTTTATAACAAAGAACTTTCAACAAGGGATCAAATTTACACCTAGCATTTGAACACAAATCAGTATAAAAACCGTATTTTTGAATATACCACGAAAAATAGCTTTAAGAAATCAACTAGTAATAATCTTTGCTTTAGCCCTTTTTCTTTTCTCTCTCTCTCTCTCTGTCTGTTCTCAATTGAATCAGTTCTCATTTTGATAATCCTGAACCACGTGACCCGTGGAGTATACCAAGACCGTCAGAAATTTCTTTGACAACAACAACTACTACTACTGCGAATCGATTGCCAGTGCTAGAAGAAGCTGTGAACAGTAGAATAGACGACACCTCCCCGAGTCCAAATTCAGCCTCTCAGACAGACGATCGATGTGAATTACATCACAGCAATAATAATGATAATAATAATATCGATGGGAATTCAGACGAATTGACGACAGCGACACAACAATCATCCAGTAGACTAGAACATACGACAATGACTAATACTGAGGTGTCTAATGCCTCTGTCAGTAAAATAAAATCTCAAAAGAAATTACTTCCAAGTCCATTATCTACCTCAGATATGAATCCCTCGCCTACTGTATCAGGTCAAGAATATAATCCCGGTTGTAGTATGAGTCGATCAGAGATTGGTGATAGTCGTAGTTTTTTCTCGGAGAAACAATCCTGTAAAAGTTTCATGAATAGAAGTTTCCATTCATCATCATCGTCCTCATCATCAACGGCAGTCAAAAGTCCTATAATCACAACACAATCGACAACTGTCCTCATTCCTCGTTCACCTGTATATAGTACACTGGTGGATTTACGAGATGATCCACCACTGGAGTTACCTATACTTCCTAATCCTAAGACGGTAAGTTCTCCCCCGTTTTCAATCAATAAGGACTGAGGTATATTTATGCTTTAGAAATGCTGGAGATTTCTCACTCAGGTGTAGTTTTGTTTTCTGGGCTAAATAGGGAGAGAGAGAGAGACGGTTGTTTAAAACCTATGAAGAATCATAAAAATCACATGTTTTCAGCACTAGCAGTGTTGTCTAGGAGGACAGTCGCACCTTTGCAGTTAGACTATCCAATTCAGAGTGACACAACTACATCAAAAAAAATTGTCCTTTAACTACTCACTGTATGACTCTTCTGCAATAGTGCGAACCTCAAAATGATTGCATGATAAATTTAGCAAAATCCTATTCAACATCTTTCGTATATCTGGCTTTAGCCGAGTATACATCCTGGTATGTCATTGTTTTTCCCAACTCAGCAGACTTCACAATAGTAGGTATGAAAATATGGTTTTTGAGACAATTTTCTGTTTGCGGAGATAAACTACTTATTCAAATATGAGTAGATGATCAGTATTATTTGTAGAAAAATGTACATTGCTGTCTCTTTAACTGTATTTTTCACTTCCCAATGAAACTATAAGCACATCTGTACTCAACTATCGAGTAGACTAATACTAGTGATAAACTGATGTGAAGAATGATCACTGTGATCTCACTCACAGTTAATTAATCGATGGTATTACTCTATTAGCTCTAAGATAGCAACTCTTTCATCATCTGACAGTGTATAGATATGAATCCGTATTAGTTACTGATGCTGTAGGACAAGTGGACTTTTTTAGCGTTCTGATTGGTTCATACATTTGGGCCAGCAATAATGTCGAATGATTATCGATTTCCTGATTAACCAATCACAATCGAGCAAGCCAGAAAATGAAGTTACCTTTCCACCAATAGGTATATCGAAATAAATATTAAATTTTCTGTGAGAGTACATCTTTCTCAAATCAAAACAGAAAACATTTTGAATAAATTTACCATTAAAATGTTTAAAAAAAATATTGTTTCAAATATAATTAACATTCTAAATATTGTTTTCTTTTAAAAAATGTTACAATTATATAGTCGGAGAAAAAGCAACAACCTCGTGAAAGTAAAGATCCAGTCAAGGAGGCATCTTCAACTCCTCCCATACCATCTCACGATGATATTGATGAAGGTACTGGTACAGTGAAAGGACATGCACGTTTAGCCCCTTTAGCTTCATGTGAAGTAATTCCAGATGAAACAGATCCAGCAGGTAATTCAAAACAAGAAACCGTAAAAGATTTCAAAACTCCTTTATCATCTTCTAAAGAGAATATTGCCAGTGAGAACAGTATAACTCCTACGACTAACACTCATGTGGATCCCAAAAATTCTACAACTGTACATAATACAACTATCAGTCATTTAGACAGTCAATTGGATAAAACTGATGACCTGATACGTCAAGGCGAAATCCAACCAAGTGTTGATGAACATGCCAAAGAACAGCTCAACGGTGTAAGACGCGAGAAAAGTGAAGATGAGACGCATTCTTCTTCTAAGCAAAGTGAATCAACAAATACATCGAAATCAGATATTGAAATTTCTGTGTCATATGAAAACCAGGTGAGTGAATTCAACCCAACATTTCTCCATTATGATTTAATGTTAAAAAGCATTAGTCCCAAAAGTGATTCTTAACGTCTTACCTAACCTTCAGTCTAAAGTTCTAAGCAAGATTTTAATTTAAAGTAGAAGTGTTTTTGAATACATATGTTTGGAGGTAATCGGGAGGATACTTTTGACCACCTAGATTTCGTCTTTGTTGGTGCTCATGCTGCTCTTGAGTCCAGTGGTAAATTTTGTGACTGCTGGAAGTCCTTGATGACACGGGTTCGAACCCCAGGACTATAATGAGTTCCTTCAAGATTACAGATACGCCTTGCTGATCAGCAGTTGCCAACAAGGACGAAATCTCGGTGGTTCAAGGATTCGTATCGATTGCCTGCAATCACCTAATAACATACAAGTGCTGGTTTGAAGTGATTTGATTGGTTTCCGGACATTGGTTAGAGAACCATTTGAAAACCACCTGAGAGTACTAGACAGTTGTTTTAACAAGCCTAGTTTGAAAATCTTTAGCAGTACGCACACACACTACAGGGGTTCGAACCCAGGACCTTCTGGTCACAAGGCGAGCTAGTTTGCACACCCTTAAACCACTTTGATCCGATTCAATGACCAATCTATGAATTTTAAATTAATTCGATTTTCCTGGAACCTTGGATAAGGTCCCAGTGGCTTAATGGTGTATGAGCTAGCTCGCCTCGTAACCGGAAGAGACTGGGTTCGAACTCTTGAGATTGATGTGCACTGCTGAAGACTTAGCTAAGGTTAGAATGGTTGACCCTGAGAAGATAAGTAATTTAGAAAAAACCTTAGTTATTACACTGCGTGCATTAACACACAATCACACAAAAGGGTGAATGATAGTTAAAATTCTATGCAGTAATATAGTTAGGTGATGAGAGAGAGACAGACTGATTACTGAATCCTTGTTCATAGAATAATCTACACCCAACACATGCAATAGGAATGACTCATCACCCCTACCCGAGATGCTGAAAATAACCATTTCCAATCAAGTCAAGCGATGAGAAATAATGGAAGTGTCTTGATACGATTATGAGAAGTAATAAAATTTTGCTAGAAACGTGTTCATCAATAAATACTACTGTATACCACGCTGTGTGCGTCGGTGGTATAGTGGTTAAGACGCTTGCTGATCATGCACATGGTCCGGAGTTCGATCCCTGGCCGCCAACGGACTCCTTTACCTCGCTAAGCCAGAAATAATGCTGGTAGAGAGGAAAGGTTTGGCATGAGGTTAGCAACCCCATCCTGTAAAAATAAACACCACTCCTACAGAAACTTCAAGCCTCTAGCTTGAAGCCCTACGTTCCACTGGGGAAAGTGAAGGAAAAATAAATACCACGCTGTGAGATTTTATCAAAATAAATTCTATCCATAATGGAATTTTTGAATTCTGTTGCTTTTATTGCCTGTCTATAGCTTGACTTCACTGTGAAAAAAAACGTGCATTCAGAAATTTTTTTGCTTACAACTTGATTCTCTTTAGGATGTAGGCGACTGAGGAGAATCGACGAGATAAAACCATCTCGTTCATTCAAATCTGTAAATATTCATTCTCCCTTTTTATTCGAAAAAGTGTAACAACAGAAGATAAGGACCGGCAACAGATCGTTTTATTACGGAAATCAGCACGTATTTACACATATTTCATGTACATTATTAAAGCTTATTCAAGCAGACAAACACAGTCTTCTGATTGGTTTTTTCTTGCTCAAGGTGACTGATTTCTCGGAAAGTGAAGCCATATATTTGCGAATCGTATTTGCCCACGTTAAGTGTGCTGTGATTAGTTGTTGAATCAGCCCTGTTCATAGTTTCTCACAGCCAATATTAGTGACCTAGACGTTGACGTAAATTAATGTCTACCAATTGGCTAGCAGCCTGCTCTCACCATAGAGGCAGTTATCAAAAGGCGAATCTCAGTCCCTATCATGAGAGTCAACTTAAAATCAGTTGAATTTCTTTTCTCTCTATATATTTTCTTCCCTTCCTGCTTATATTTTTAGCCAAAGGAATATTTAAATTATGCGCCAATGACTAAAATCAATACACAAAATATTGAAAGTAGACATTTTAAACAAACAATGGATCAATTATCAATTTTAAATAGTCAACAATTTAGTCATAGTTGGACAACAATTAATCGTATTGCGTGTAAAAATGATACTGACGACTACAACGATTGTGACGTTGATGACGATGAAGATAACGGCATTGAAACTGGTGATGGTGCTGTTTACAATCATCATGAAAATGACACACCCAAGGAGGATAACACTGATAGTAGAATAAAACGAATGAAAGATTGTCAAATATTGAAAAAGTTACCTTTATCAGCAACTAATTTAAAGGATAATGATAGATTGTTGGAGAATTATTTAAATCAAACTATTGGTTCATCATTGTTGGCCACAGAGAATAATTATGATCGACAACAACAGCAGCAACAGCAACAACAACAAGAACAACAGTCGTCAGGGAATTGTGATGAGAAGGCAGTCCCTGAGGGTAGGTTAATTTCTTTTGGTTATTTGTGTTTTAGGCAATTTTCAAATCTTTAAATATTACCATTGATAATGTTTAAACATGACATATAAGCGAACAATATTGTTGGTTTCAATTAGATCTTCTTCAGGCTTTACTCTAATTTACATAGATTTATATATAGAGAGCAATTTAACCAATGACGGTGATTTTGTTGATCAACTAATAATAATAATGTGGTAAATGTTTTGAACGAAGTTAATAAGGATGATTATAATAATAACAAAATATTGATAATAAGGTTTATGCACGTGGCAATAAGGAATAACAAAGGCAGTGAGTAATATGTGTATATGTAGACAATTCAATAAATAAATAAATTAGGTCAAATCTTAAAAGTTACGTAACACTAAAGGTGAATTGGACAGATAATCAGAGTTTAAATAAATATCATAAAAGTACGAAGGATAAGATAAGTAATTTAGAAAAAAGCTCAGCAATTGCAATGCATGCGCTAACACACAACCACACAATAGGGTGGGAGAGGGTTAAAATTCTAAAAAGTAATCTAGGTAGGTGGAGAGAGAGGTTGATTACTGAATCCTTGTTCATCGAGTCTACACCCAACACATGCAATAGGAATGACTCGTCACTCATACCTGAAATATGGAAAATACTATTACCAATCAAATCAATGAAAATCAAGAGAAAAACAATGGAACTATATAAATGAATTTAGGAAGTCGTGTGATTACCTTGATATGATTATGAGCAATAAATTGTGCTCGAAACGTCATCAGTAAACATTACTGTATAACGCTGTGAGACTTTATCAAACAAAATTTACCCATAATGGCATTACACTCTACCACAGTGCACAAGTTTTATTCTTATATCAAAGTACGAAGGAGATGGATGATAAGAAAGGGTGGGAGGGTTTTGAATAGAATTCGCCTACGCCAAGCAAGGGAGAGACAAACTTGGTAGAACAAACTTCTTTTGTTGTACGCATAGACTAGGATTCTTCTCTCGAATTAATTCCTATAGCTTCTTCGGCTATGTGTAAAAGACGGGTTCTGATCCCGTTCGAAAGCCTCGATGGAATGTATGATAGATAGCTTTGAAGGCGCTATTTTTGTCCACTTGGTGACCACTATCAATCAAATGAGCCAAAATAGAACTTCGTATGAATTTTATTTGACTTTTTCCGAACCATGAAGGAAGATGCTCATTAAGGCGTTTGTTAAGTTGTCTAGTTGTTCGGCCTATATAGCTCTCTCCACAGGAGCAACTAAATTTTTAGATACACATAGAAGTGCCACAGCTGGATAGCTTATCTTTCACTTGAGCAATCAAAATTGGTCGGCTGAAAAATGACAAACATAAAGGTTGGCGGCAGTATAATTCCGTTTTATCGCTCTCGATAATGTCATATGTAAGACTTGACTAGCCACGTCCCCCTTAAATTGCAATTTCATGAACCGTTGTTTCTTTTTAACTGCTGTCAGTTTTTCTTTATTGTACCTGGTATTCATGTGTCTCCTTACAAATCTACTAGGATAACCCATTTGGACCAGCGTATTTTGAATGTATCCTGCCTAATTCATTTTCTAGGGAGTCACCTGTACACATCCTTCTTGCTCTATTTGTGGGGCGTCTAACCAAATTGATTTTGTATCGGATTGGTACAAAACTGAGGAAATGTGTATTATTGTCCTACAGATGTAGGTTTTCTGTAGACATCCCTCTTGAGTTAACCATACTCTCTTCTGCTCAGTTGGACGTCTAGGGAATTTGAGAGAACAATCCAAGTGTTTGCATATAACAAAAGAAGTTTGTTCTACCAAGTTTGTCTCTCCCTTGCTTGGCGTAGGTGAATTCTATTCAAAACCCTCCCACCCTTTCTTATCATCCATCTCCTTCGTGCATTTATGATATTTATTTAAACTCTGATTATCGTTCCATTTGATTTATTATTATTATTATTATTGTATCCTTTAGTTCCTAGAGGAACATAGGGCTTCAGCTGCGCACCTCCATTGACTTCGGTTTTCTGACAACTTTTTCACCCTGCTCCAGGTCTGTCCACATGCTTTCATCTCCTCCTCGCATGACCTCCTCCAAGTCACCCTTGGACGACCAACTCGCCGCCTCCCTTTCGGGTTCCACTCGAGCGATGGCTTGTCTAGTGATGTCACTTGATGGTTTGTTTCCTCAGCGTATGGCCAATCCATCTCCATTTCTTTCTGCCTATTTGTTTCACAATCGGTTCCTGATTGGTTCGCTCCCAGAGATCCCTGTTGCTGATCTTTTCTGGCTGGCCATCTGATCTTGAGTATTGAGCGGAGACAGTTGTTAATGAAGGTTTGAAGTTTGTTTGAGATGCTCTTTATGACTCGCCAAGTCTCTGATCCGTATAGTAGCACTGACTTCACATTGGAGTTGAAAATCCGGATCTTATTTTTGATGCTGATTGCTGTTGACCTCCACACAGATTTGAGAACGCTAAGAACCATGTCGAGGAAAATGTACGAAATGACCTTTTTGGTTAAAAAAAATTATGTGCATTTACTATACAGAAAAATAATGCTAAGTTCAGAACATCGAAAAAAAAAATAGTTAGTACCACGAACGAGTGAGTTGCGTGAATCACACGAATTCGTTAAGTCAAATAAGTGTGCAGATATTCTGGGAACCTTACGGTGCGTCCAGAACGGTTTTTCTTAGGAGGCTCAACCTTAGTAGCCAGTGGGCGAATGCCCTTGCAGTCAATAGTGTGACCCAGGAAGTCGAGTGAGTCGACACCGACTTGACATTTTTGAATGTTGATGGTAACACCATGTTGGCGTAACCTGTCAAATGTCAAGTCCAAGTGCCTAAGGTGAGTTTCCTTGTCTGGACTGGCAATGAGGCAGTCGTCTAAGTATGCGTATACAAAGTCGAGACCGCGAAATACTTCGTCGATGAAGCGTTGGAATGTTTGGGCTGCATTCCGAAGACCGAATGGCATACGTAGAAATTCAAAAAGTCCGAAAGGCGTAATGATAGCCGTTTTCGGGATGTCTTCTGTTGCCATCGGGATTTGGTTATACGCTTTAACCAAGTCGATTTTGGAGAATATAGTCGCGCCGGATAAGGTTGCCGTCAAGTCGTGTATATGAGGCAACGGGTAGCAATCAGGGGTTGTTTTGGCATTCACTCGCCGGTAATCACCGGTGGGTCGCCAATCGTTGCTATCCTTTTTCGGAACCATATGAAGTGGGGATGCCCATGGGCTATTCGAAGGTCGAATGATGCCAAGGCTAAGCATATGGTCAAATTCATTCCTGACGATTCTCAGTTTGTCAGGAGCTAATCGTCGTGCTTTAGATGTCACAGGTTGTCCTGTGGTAATGATGTGGTGCATAACATTGCTGGTTATGCACGGTAGGTCGTTCGACGGGCAATTAAGTTCCGGATACTTGTCAACAATAGGTTGAAAAGTTGGATCAAGAATTGCCTTTATCTTAACGGGTGACAAGCTAGGGCCTATGTAGGTAATGCCTTTGATAGACAGACTAGTAGTATTGTCAATCAGTCGTTTTCGGCGGACGTCTACGAGTAAATCATGATGATTAAGTAGGTCCGTGCCAATGATGAGCATTGTAACGTCAGCGAGAAGGAAAATCCACCGAATAGGTTTGCGTAAACCTACGTTCAGATAGACGTATTTCCTACCAAAGGTTGCGATTGGTTTTCCATTTGCAGCCTGCAAGTTGAAGGTAGGTTCCTTCTGTCGATCTGCTGCTGTAGCAGGAAGGACGCTGACTTCGGCGCCTGTGTCGACTAAGTATCGAGTCTGGCTTATCACATCATGGATGTAAAGTAGGCGGCTAGTGCCACCGGCGACGGTTGCCGCTAACGCGTGCCGGCGGGATAGTTTCCCGCAGACTTTGAGACATTACCGAAGTTACAGGGCTTACGGCAACACTTCGCTTCTTGGCCATAGGTGTTGTGGTACCAGCACCAGTCGGGGTTTTCAGTGAACGTGGTTTGGACTTAGATCGACCACGCGAGTTCCTGCGTTGAGGAGATTTAGGACGACGGTTGGAGGATTTAGAATGCGTGTTTGACCTAAACATCTGCTGAAGGGAGTTGCATAACTCTGTCATTGCAGGATCCTCACTCGAAGTCTGCTTAGTCACTGAGCATACTTCGGGGACAGACCGTTTAGTTATTTCTATAATCCTATCTGCAGTAATAGCTAAGTCCTCTTTACAGTACCCTGCAGTGTCACAAGTACGGTCTGTACAGCCTGTGGCAGCTTGGTTAAGAAGAGTTCTCTAAACAGTCCTTCGTCGAAATGACATTGGCCGACGACTTGTTTCATTCTTGTCAGCATGCTCACAGCTGACTGATCTCCTAACTCGATGTTGCGAAATAATTCATCTAGACGTTGTCTGTCCGTGAGAGCGTTTCTCCTGAGGAGGGATGCTTTCAGCAACTCGTACGAGTTACTTACCTCGGGACTCAACATCTGTGATGTTACGTACTTGCTGAATTCCCGCGGTAGGGCGTGAATAACTGCAAGTAACTGTGAACGTTGATCAGTTATCCCATGCTCACAAAAATCTGCTTCAGCTAGCTCACCAGTTTAGGGGTTGAGAGATATTAAAGGTTAGACGTGATATCTCGTTCAACAACTTCTAATTAATTTATTCTCGCGTACCAAAGACAAAGCAAAAGCCAATAACTGGTCGTCCAAACGAAGAGATGTATTTACGAACCAAAACAAGCCGTTAGACGAACGCTTAGCTAGCTAGTGATCGTGCACGTGACACGACGATGTACCAAATGGCGGGGATGCTTGACCGGAAGCCTTCAGCTAAACAAGTCGACTTAAACAGTGGTGGTCAGCATCCAATGAGTGATTGCTGTGGTCAATAATTTTGGGGAATTATTTACCGCTACAAGAGTAATGAAAGCTTGTCTTGCTTTTCCGATTCTGGCTTTGATGTCCTCGTCAGTTCCGCCTGTAGTTGAGA